TCACGTTATTGAACGTTACACCGGCGATCCCAAACATCTCTATTATAGGCAGTTTATTGTTAATGGACCGTTCCGTCAGGAAACTGGTCACTTGCATGCAATACTTTTTTTTTTAAACGGCAACATACCATTAGTCCGTTCTAGTTTATCCATAGCAGTTCATGGACTACCTATCAAAGTGCTTCCCTAAAGCAATACATGAAGCGCATGTGTCTATGTTTGCTAACTTTCGAGTGTCTGAAGAGAATGTATATCATCTTTACAACCTCTGTCACTGTTATGTTGTTGTACAGAGGATTCAGACCCAGGCATTGTATGACAAACTGTATTACGATTGTAAACACACATAGCACATGTTGTTACATTGGAGCCATCTTGGAGAATCCCCACCGGAAACGAGGTTGTCGACATAGTTCATATCAGAATGCATAACGCCTACTGTAGTCTGTTTCACATATGTAGTACATATGTATGTATAACTCCACAGTCACTGACAAGGCCTTTTTGCGTAAAGGTTTCTTTTGTTCCAACCAGGCAGCAAGGCGAAGATTAAAATATAACAATATATTGTATAGGTTGTTGATAGCAGTGTAACGATTTGAAGAACTTGTAATTCCTTCTTTTTACAAATTGTGTGTCAAGATGATATGAAAACATTCTCAGTTTATAGGAAATAGCCTGTCTACATACGCTCTATGTTTCAAGATAAATATATTTATCACATAATGTACTGTGTTATCCAGTGAATATACTCGTGTATTATTTCTTTTGCGTATTAAACCATGTAATATGACCTATCAGCCATGTGATTGGTTCTAAGTTTAAATTGTTTCAATTGCGAGGTCACGCCTAGGACATGTACATGACGTCACAAACTTACGCACTTGAGTCAAAATGGCAGTTTTTTACATTTCAAAGTTGCATCAAAATCGCCGTTTTACACGAATAAATGCCACAAATCTTGACTATGTGAAAACAATGATCTTACACTCGTTTTCATTTCATATGAAAGTTATGAAACTCGTCACGAATTTTTCATTTTAGCTCGCCAGAGGCTCGTTAAATTGAAAATGCTTAGACTTGTTTCAAAAATCTCATATGAAATAGAAATTCATGTAAGATCCTTTATATATATAAAACAAAAGACAAGAGTTTATTCATTCATGTTGACAGAACAACAACACAACACAGAAAGTGATGACATCATGATGCATTGTGACATCACAATACAACCTACCAAAATTGACACCAAAACTAACAATGCACTTTAACGTCAACATTTTAGGAACAAAAAGTACGGTGTTACAAAACTAGATATGTGTTTATAAAGCTAGAGGCATGAGTATAGCAACATATATTCATGCAACAATCTGTGCTGTTAGAACAATTTAAACCAGGTTTTAATATATCGATTAACATTGATTATTTTGACTCTCGCTGTACAGTGTCTTCTGTAGCTTGATATAAAGGAACTACTTGGAACTTATAATTTGCACCAGGATGTATTTGCTTATCAACAGGTAAAAATCAAGGATGGCCACTTTTTGTCTGTAGTCTATGAAGTGTCATACGTTGACATAATTCACAACAAGTTTGTCCAATGTAAAATTCAGAACAATTTGCAGAGATCATTGCATAAACAACATTCCGAGATAAACAGTTACTTTATTTTTTTTCCATTTTTGAATATAAATTCTTCAACAATAATACTACCAAAACCACACCTTCTGATGTTACAATAGACATATATATATCTACATCAGTACCATCTTTTAATTTAACAATACAAAATTATCTATTTAAATCAGTACCCTTTTCAGATGTAACAATACACTGGTATATTTACATCAGTACCGTTTTATGATGTTCAATAGAGATTTTCGGCGGTAATTCTAGCGCTGCTTAACTAAGGACTCATTTAAAACTGAGTAGACTGGAACAAGAGGAGTAAAGTATCTTGCTCAAAGATACAACACAGAGCCGTGCCGTGACTCGAACCCGCAACCCTTCGGTCACGAGCCCGGCGTCCTACCACTAGATACACAGGTATATATCTACATCAGTGCACTCTTCTTATGGTACAATAGACAGGTATATGTCTACATCAGTATCATTTTCTTTTGTAACACTTAACAGGTATAAATCTACATCAGTATCATTTTCTGATATAACAATACACAGATATTTATCGACACCAGTAGCATTTTCTGATGTTAAAATACACTGGTATATATCTGCTGTAAATATTGTACATTTTATCATACATAGTATCTTGACCATATGTAAGATAAGCTTCATGCTCAATATATTATCAAGAATAAATAAAGCCTTCAGTATCTACACCAGTACTTATTTTGTATTGTAACAGTAGAGAGGTATATGTTACGATATACAGGTATATATCTACATCAGAACCATCTTCTGATATCACAATAGAGCGGTACATATTTCCATCAGTACCATTTGCTGATGTTACAATACACAGGTATATATCTACATCACTACAAATGTTTAATGTTACAAAAACAGGTATATATCTACATCAGTATAACCTTCTTATGTTACAATAAACAGGTATATACCTACATCAGTACCATTTTCTGATGTAACAACACATATGTATATCTATACATCAGTACCACCTTCTGATGTTACAATAAACATGTATATATCTACATCAGTACCCTTTTCTGATGTTACAAGAGGTCCAGAGGGCCTGTATCGCTCACCTGGATATCTAAGCAAGCATGGCAAAACATTCTCCAAATGAGATCCAAGGGAATATGCCAGACCCCAAGGCCAATCATTGTAGCATATCTGTATTAGATTTTTCATGTCCAGCAATGTTATGTATGGTTATGGGGTAGGGATCTCAACTGTTTCCAAGCTGTGACTAAGAAACTAGGTCCATATGGGTTAGGTCAGACCACAGGGTCTATTCTAATATAATGACTGCATTCTTCTCTTTATACTCAGCAATTGTATATATGGTTATATGGTGGGGATCTCAAACATTTCCAAGTAATAGACTTTGTTTGCCCCACTCCTTATCCCGAGGGGTCAGCCCCACCATTTGTACAATTTTGAATCCCTGCCTCCTATGAAGACTTCCGACCAAATATGATCGATATCCATGGCATAGTTCTACAGAAGAAGTCGTTTATAGTAATATAGCCCAACCATTTGTACAATTTTGAATCCCCACCATCTAGGGATGCTTCCAGTCAAATATGGTTGATATATATCTCTTAATTCCAGAGGAGAAGTCGTTTGTAGCAATATAGCCAAATTATCCCCTTTTGGCCCCGCCCCTCAACCCTCTGGAGGGTCAGCCCAAACATTTGTACAATTTTGAATCTCCACCATCTAGGGATGCTTCCAGTCAAATATGGTTGATATCCATCTCTTAGTTCCAGAGGAGAAGTCGCTTAAAGCAATATAGCCACATTGCCCCCTTTTTGCCCCGACCCTCAGCCCCCTAGGGAGTCAGCCCCACCATTTGTACAATTCTGAATCCCCACCACCTAGGGATGCTTCCAGTCAAATTTAGTTAAATTTCAATCAGTGGTTAAGAAGAAGAAGTCGTTTAATGAAATTGTTGACGGACGGACGACGACGGACGGACGGAGGACACGGTATGGCATAAGCTCACCTTGGTACTTAGGACCAGGTGAGTTAAAATTAACAGGTATATATATACATCAGTACCATCTTTTGATGTGACAATACACAGTTTATATATCTACATCAGAACCATCGACTAATATTACAATGAACAGGGATATATCTACATCAGTACTATTGCTGTTGTTATAATAGACAGGTACATATCTACATCAGTACAGTTTTCTAATTTCATGATAGACAGGTATATGTCTACATCAGTGCCATGTTCTGACGTCACAACAAACAGGTATACATATACATCAGTACCATCTTGTGATGTCACAATTGACGGGTATATATCTACATCAGTACCATATTCTTATGTCACAATAGACATGTATATATATACAGTGCAGTAAATACCATAATGCAACAAAGATACCTGAAGATTTGAAATGAAATGAAAAAGTGCATGTACGCTCATGACCTCAATGACAAGCATCGAAGACTATAGAAGCGCACAAGGCAAAGAATATGTATCCAGAAAATATCTCCTTGCAATGGTTATTCAGTTTTAAGATTATGCATTTTACCCTCTAATCGCTTCTTAAGGAGTATGTCAGACATTGTTTCGTATCAAGCTATTGCATTAATATTGCGATTACTCGTGATGTTTACTGGTAACTAGATGTCAAACAGAACTTCTCTCCGTGCCATGTATACGCTAGCTGAACGACTGACTCCTTTTTGCTAAGTGTGACCATATATATAGTATTCAACAGTTGGGTGAATCTGATGTAAAGCAAAAGGCTATGAGTTTCAAGGCTTTCTACCATATTGTTCAGTTTTACTAAATATCAACATATCGGTGACTAAAGGTCATAGGTAAAAGCGGTCATCATTATCAATGTATGACATACATGGTTTTAATTATCCCAAAAAAACAATATGAAAGTTATCAAATGTCATAAATCAATCGAAATGTTCATATAATTGATTCCACATTAACATAAATGGACATATGCTTTACTACTATAAAGGATATAATCTTTCGGTTTTGGATATTTGGCTGCCAATACTTATGAGGTAAGACAGAAAGGGTTATGCTTACTATGTGCATCGATCTATACTTTTTTTGAGAAGGAATCGGACAAAAATTGGTGCAAGCGCGGAGACAATAAGCTGGGTATGCATATCATTATTCAACTAATGTGTCATGTTGCACTACATGTTACCTATGTGTTGATTACTTGCAATACATTGTAGCACACACATTATGAACATGTACTCTAGAAACGTAATAATCCGGTAATATGAAGATCAACATATTGAACTTTAATACAGGTACAATACATGCAATACGAAATTAAATTAAAAAAAAACACATAACTTACCTGACGATGACAGGAATACGAGCAGTAGAAATAACATGTCGGGCTAATTATCCGTCATGTAATTACATTATATAAGCCGTACTCCGTGAGATACCGATGTTGTATTTCACAAACACAAATAATTAACTCTGTAAAAACATATCATGTCAAATACGGGCTCCAAACTTCCTTGTCCGTATGACTCGATTACACATAATACGTAAAAATTTGGTCGTGTGTATACATGTGTGTACAGCTACCAAGTATATCCTTGTATCATATATATTATTAAATGGGGGAAGACACGCTATGAGCCCTACATGACCTATATAATTATATATAGTTGTTTATAGAGTTTATAAATCTAAAACAAAATCTGCTAATAGTCTAGTTGACATCACTCGAAAATGAGTTCAATTCAATTCCAAAAAGTGCGCTATGTAGCTGTACACAAGTACGGACGAAGATAGACCGAAGTCTGTGGTAAGTCCCATAACACTTATATGAAATATAGCCAGTACGGTTTGTAAACTTCATTTTTCTTGTCAAAAACATTAGATATTTCCTTCTGACCTGGCAACGAATCGAATAATATATCGCGTTACGGTACATACATGTTTATATGCAATGAAAAACGCACTGCAGATTATCCAATATAAAGAATGAAAACTAATACTATTCCTGTACACAAAAGCAAATTAAAGAAAATAACCTAATAGATGAAATTTAGAAGCTTGAAAATCATAATGATATAAATTTGGAAGAGTTGGGATAGGAAAAATAAGGAATTATAAAATACTAGAACACTTAGAGTGAAGGGAAGTATGAATCGATCAAAAGCTTTATGGATAGATGAAGGAGATAAAACCAACAAATTGTTTTTTTCAGTAAAGTAAACAGAAATTAAACATAAACAAATATTCCAAAGCTCCAGATGGAAAATAGGGAAGTAATAACACAAAAGGTGATAGTTAGAAAATAAAAAAAAAAAATGAAAAATTATAGTTCACTGTTGATAACGAATTTATAGAATGAATTTGATGTGCTAAAATTGAATATAGTAAAAGCTGTAAGTTTAGAAGGATTACTAACACTTAAAGAGGCATCTCAAAACCTTTGAAACATGAAAAATAACAGCCCGAGTTCAGATGGATTTATTTAAGTTTTTTTTAAAACTGTTTTTGGAACCAGCTTTGAAATATTGTTGACAAAAATGCATCTGGATCTATAGCTAGTAGACTTTAATTAGTTTTAAAAAAAATGATAAATTCAGATCAGACAGGATTCATATCAGGACGGTATTTAGGGGGAAATACTAGGCTCATCTATGACATCATGCAATATGCTGAAGACATAATATCCCTGGAGTGTTATTGCTAATTGATTTTGAAAAATGCATTTGATTCGGTCTCTTGGAAATTTATAAATAAAGTCCTTACGACTTCAGATTTGAGAAATTGGGTAAATATATTACATTCTAATCCTTGTTCTGCAATAATCAGGGAGTATCTTATAATCGTTCTTTAATATAAAACGTAGCTGTCGCCAAGGCGATCAAATATCATCTTACATTTTTTATAATTTGTACAGAGATATTGATAAGTCCGATAAGAAAAAACAGAAATATTACTGGTATCAATATTGAGGACTGTCAGATTATAAATTCTCAATATGCAGATGACACTTTTTTTAATACGAGATGTAGAAAGAAATAAAGGTATTGGTAAACCAACACAATTAGAAGGTAAGGAAATTCAACGTCCTGTGGAAAGTGGTCGGTCAATGCGCCGGTGTAGGGATCCGAGGTGGATACCGAAGTATTCAAGTACAAATGGGTAAGTGCGGGAGCGTCAACATCAAGGTTTCCGTAAAGGTAGGTCCTATGAGGTACTAGATATAACAAGACACATGAGCAGCTTTCTAAATTTGGGAAAAGCAGTGGTAGGAAATGCATTAATACATTACAGGTAGTTTTCTTTCATTTACATTTCTTTCATGGACATCAGTGCGTGCTTTTTATAGATATATTTTGTGTGTGTGTGTGTGTGTGTGTGAGGGGGGGGGGGGGGGGCTTATTATGATATGTCTGAAAACAGGCACGAGTTGTAATATGCAATAATGTGCCCCGTAAGGCAGTGATATGATACCAATCAAATTTACCAATGCTCTGATCAGGTACTAACAAGAGCCATGACCAGCTTTCTAGACTTAAGAAATACATCACAGGTAATTTCCTTTTTTTTCAAATATTTCCCAATACTTGCTCCTTATAGGAAATAGTATATACGCATATGTATTTTTTCATTTGCTGTAGGTAATTTCAGCTTTCAGTACATTATGACTCTTAAGTATTTTCTTCTTCAAATGTAATCTCTGTTTTGCAATGGATAATAATATGACATAAATTTGCCTTTTACCCATGAAAATAGGAATTGGCAAAATGGGGTGGGGAAACGGAGTTCTAACTTCAGGTGAGCAAAATTGCAAAATTTTCATCGAGAACCTCTCACTTTTAAGGCTTACCGAAAAGCATTTATACATGGCTGTCTTCTGTCATTTTTTTTTTCAATTGACATGGGCTTGTTTTTAATGCATGTGTTCGATGTAAATTTGTTAAAAATTGCATTTTGAAGAAAATGGATGGCCACTAAATATGCATAAATCACATAATGTTTAAAAAATATTCAACTTGGTGGAAACTTAAGTTTTGTAAATATTGTAGAAAACATTTTTACTTAATTTTCATAGTATGGGGGAAATTTTCAGAAAAGTGGCAACCTTTCAGCTCAAATATCTCAGAAAGTAAGTCGAGAACCCCCTTTTTTCTTTTCATATGTGTAATCTACGTACAAAATGCAAGAAAATAAGCCTAATTAGAAAAAAATGACACGGTTTTTTTTTTCTAAAAGAGTGGACCCACCTTAAAGGTATTCTACGAATCTGGGGCATGAAACCACCTTTACACTAATATTAAGGGGACGATTTAAGGGTATGTTTTGAAAACATTACGTGTTTAACGTGAAGCAACCGTAACGCACGACTATCATTCTCCTAATGATGTTTCAATACCCCGTAACCTTCCCTCATATCGGCATTTTACGAGGACGGTAAGAGCTACAGTTCCGAAGTCCGGTCATCGCATTTTACCTACAATAAACTTCATCTCATCTGTGTCATCTGTGCTTTCAATGGTGCGCATGTTTTGTATGTGTTTTTATCAGGCTCTTTATTGAGTGGAGCATATTTTGACAAGTTGCTGACAATAATAGATACGACAATCACAATAGCTTAACGAGTAAGGAAGCCAATTTTTACGAAAACTGAGTAGCTAGGGGGTTGACAAGGTTACACAGAATTCCTAAGATTAGTTTCGATAAAAGGCTAGTTAAACTTAAATCTTTTGGCGTATGATTTTGAAAAAAATACAGTTTTAAAAATTGTGATAGCTAGTATTTAATTAAGATTGGTACTAATTGTAAAAACATTTTGGAAGCATGTTTTAAGGCATGTTATTGACTAAATATTGAAGTAGAAATGTATAGAAAGGAGGATCATTCCTTATTTAAGACACCCATATGGTATAACAAAAACACAACTATTGGTAATAATGACGTTTTCTATAGAAATTGGTACAATAAAGGGATTACGATAATCAATGATTTAGTTAAAAATATCAGAAGTTGTTCCTTTTTCTCATTCAATAAATCTTAGTGCATAGTTGAATAACAAATTATCTTCAGTATCAGGGAGTGATAATGAACAAAAAGAAATACCTTTATAAAATCACAATGTACCCAACAAGATGTTGATTTACCAAATCATGCAATTAAAATCTTGAGGTTATATTAACAAGAGATCCCAGAGGGATCTTGGCGCCCAACATTGTACCATCTTCATAAGTCCCATGTCAGTTTATTATTTCTTTTCTTTCCTCTTCTATTCTCTCATCTGTTTGACCAAGTCATGTTTACATAAATTCACCATGAGTAAACTTTTGAAATGTGAATTCGTCGTTTCACATGTTTACTTGTACGGTACTTAATGTGAAAGAAATAGAAGCGATCATTGCAATATGATAAATATCTGTTTAGTTCTACCTGCAGCCATCTTGTTTCTATGATCATTCTCAAAACTAAGGACCAGGGAGAGCCTAAATATCAAATCAGTCAGCCATATTGCTTATCCGATCCAAACACTTTACCCCGGTTTGGTAGTTTATTTAAACGTTAATTATCAAATAAAATCTTATCAGGTATCAATGATATTTTTCGTACATCATGTTCTGTATTTTCTTAGGTGGTGACGCTATTACTAAATTGTTGACATTTAAACATGCAGTAAAACAATGTAAATATTCGTGTCTTGCGAAAATTATTGAGTGACCATAGTGTAGCATGTGAGGATATTGAGCGTTAACAAAATATTCTAAACATTACAATTAATGCCATTTATATTCAAAGTGTGCACGATCTGTCAATCGTGGTTGTTGGACTGTCAGTAAGAGATTTTTGTCTAAAGATCTGGTTTCCAGCAGCTTAGCTGCATTTTCTTGTTTGAGCATTATATGTGGAAATGTATCTAAATAACGAGTAATAACTACTTAGAATACTAGCTATTGTTATAATTATTATATACACACAAATATTATTGGATTTTATTTTAGTCTATAATAATAATTGATCTTTTAATAAATTGTCATAAATATATTCCTAAAAGTGTACCAATGCCATTTATTTTTCGGTTTAAAAGAATGCTCATAATTTTAGTACTGAATAAACTGGTTGCCAAGCCCTGGGGGTGCATGTTTACTGCAATAGGTATAGGGGTCTGATGTCAGCTTTCATAGACACTTAGACATCGTGTCTAGAACAGCAACAGTCATAATCAATACAAATTTCTCAGCTTGTACAGTGGGGCATAGCCTCCTGATCCGGGTCTAGGGGAAACGTCCTTGATGTGTAGAGGAGTTGAGGTCTGGGGTTCAAGGAATGATGAGAATCAAAACACCATACCAGAAGAACTGAGCCCACATTCACCCCCATATTCACCAGTAATATATTAATTTACTATATGCATGTAGACACACAATTTAGATATTTAAATACATTCCAATGCTTACTTAAGAAACTTGATGATTACAAAATTATATTAATAGACATTATAATAGGTTATATTTTCTTTCGTATTTATGAATTATTGAATGTGAT